GGGAAGTAATCTTTCATGTTACTTACTTTAATTATATGTGAGGTCAAATTTCAAGATGAGAATTATAACAGTCTCAAAATGGTTGAGACTAGCATTAACTAATGTTGGAGAGTTATGAAACCCTGAAGATGTTGCAAGGCTAAAATGCATTGAAAGATTTGATTATTGTGGTCTCATTTGATTCTTCATTTGACATGTTTGATACTTTCTGGAAACATGTTATGGTCCTTACGTCTGAAGAATACAGCCAGGGCTAGCCGTGTTGCACTAAGTAATTTATATGAGGCAAATAACCAATCTGTCAGTGACTGGTTAGACTTATGACCATAGTTAAATTTTGTACTGTAAGCCACATGTACTGAAATTGTCTAATAACTGTACTTTTGTTATCTCTGATGGTTTTAAAACAAGTCAATGTATTGTATAGGGGGGTTGCCCAAAACTGAGCATTTTTTTTCCAGCATCGTGATCAAAATGAAATTTAATACGGTTTTAAATGGAGGAAAAATTTAGTGCTTAGATTTATCCTCATGTTATTTATTTTATCCCCATTAAAATAAATAAAAACTGCCCATACATGAGCTTTGAGCATCCAGCAGATTATTAGAAATCTAAGTGCAATATGAGCAGCTCATTTTTTCCACCAAACAGCAGCACATCAGCAAATACCATATCCTTCCCGTCCATACTTCTTCAAAGACCAGATAAAAGAAACATGCCTTGCTTTTTACGCACTTTGCATTTTTACCTACATGTCACTTTCCAGATCGATCCTTATGACACCTGGGTCAGAATATTTCACCTGCAGTATCTCATGACAGTCAATAGATATTACACAATAACTAATGGGGAAGCTCTTTAATATTGTAGTGTTTAAGTTATTCAGTTTGAGGTTCTCAAACGTATTGTAGTTGAAGAGGCCATCCGATCAGCACCTCTTTACTTGTCGTTGTTTAGCTGAATCATTATGCACATCAGTTTTGGTGAATTAAAAATAGTTGTACTATAAACAAAATATTGCACAAGGGGGACAGTAATTCTTTTTTTGGAGGGGTGGGGGGATATTTGCAGCATTTTTCAAACTAAGCTCCCTTCCCACTCCAAAACAAAAACCATAAAGATATTACATAATGAAGGCAAATGCCAGCCTGGATCTTTTAGACTTAACTTTAACTTGGTTAGATTTGAAAGAAAATATAGTGTATTACTCCATTGCTGGATCTTGCAGTTTAAATAAATAAATAAAATAAAAATGCTACTTGTGAGTGTGTGGTTTTGATTTTTCAGTGCTTCCAGGAAGCCTTGCAGTTAATAATTAAAACCAAAATGTTAAGTTAATATATTCAGTTGTGAAACTAAAGTTGTCTCTAACAAAAATCAATCCATCAAATTTCTGAAACTGCCTATAAAAAAAAAGTCTGCTTTCTAGGTACTGAAATGGAGTTTTCCCCCTTGTGGTTTTGGTTTCTAATCATATTTATCCCTTTTAGGTTTTTTAAGTCAGGGAAGTTGGCCCCGATCCTGCAAACACTTTTTATACCCACAAGCAACTTTCTGCGGGTGAGAAGTCTCACTGTGAGATGCCACTCATCTGTGTAAAGTTACTCAAGGGAGCCAGGGTGTGTGGGAAGGGAGGGCCTTTGTCTCTCTTGGCTTCTGTACAATGCCACATATGCTCTAGTACTATAAAATACTACTGTTTAATTAGTGTGTAATCTTCCTTCCCTTGCCTTTCAATTTCATTGTCTGATTTATATTATTGATTTGAATTTAGCTTTACAATCATCACTCCCAATTACGGCCCTTATGCATCTAGCTTTTATGGATACCATTGGTGGTCTCCTTGAAGGAACTAGCTACCTGGGTGTATTAAGAGAGTAGGGCAAAATCCTACTGTGAGCTCTATAGCAAAGCTTACGTTGACTTCAGCGGGAGCAGACTCCGGGCCAGTGTGATTTGGGAGGTCCTGATGAAAATTATGCTGAAATCAATGGGAGGCTTTCTGCTGATGCATTGGATTGGGTGTCAGTATGCATTTAGGATCATTGCCACCCCTCCCCAAACCTGTCCTGCTTTTATAAATTACAGTAAAAATGTCTTCAGCCAAGATCTCTCAGACATTTCCTGTGTTATCCCTGTCTCACTAATGGATAAACTGAGGCACAGAGTGGCTAAGTCCAATAATGTCTACTAAAATTCCAATCCTGCAAATACTTATGCTTGTTAACTTTTTACTCGTGGCGGCGGTGCTCTGGAAATCAATGAAACTACCCACATACTAACCTGTCTAAATGTTTGCAGAGTAGGGGCCTAAATTTGCATGTCAAAGTTTTGGAGTCCTTCCGCAGCTCAAACTTCTGAGTTTTTTTTTTTTTTAAAGTAGACTTAAACCCAAGATCACATGTCCAGGCAAGCGATTCTCTAATGGAGCTGAAATCATCATCTTTGCTCCCAGCCCTGTGTTCAAGTTGTTAGACCCAGGCTCGCCTCTCTTGAGCAAACACTAGTTTAGGGTTGTTTGGGCGTTTTATATCATGGGTACTGAATGTTTCCACAGGTATTTAGAAAAATCAGTAAATGTTACATGGGGTTTTAGACCTCACCAAGGGTACGTCTAGACTACAGGCTTCTGTCGACAATCATCTTTGCTCCCAGCCCTGTGTTCAAGTTGTTAGACCCAGGCTCGCCTCTCTTGAGCAAACACTAGTTTAGGGTTGTTTGGGCGTTTTATATCATGGGTACTGAATGTTTCCACAGGTATTTAGAAAAATCAGTAAATGTTACATGGGGTTTTAGACCTCACCAAGGGTACGTCTAGACTACAGGCTTCTGTCGACAAAGAGCGTCTAGACTACATTGAGTTCTGTCGACAAAGCAAACTGCTTTGTCGACATGGTAGTGTAGACGCAAAGGACAGTTTACATTCAATAACACCTTCTGTTGACAGAAACTCTGTCGACAGAAGGTGTTATGCCTCGTAAAACGAGGTTTACCAGCGTCGACAAAACTGCTGAGTTCTGTCGACGTTATGTCGACAGAACTCAGTAGTAGTGCGGACACAGGTATAGTTTTGTCGACAAAAGTCCACTTTTGTCGACAAAACTCTGTAGTCTAGACACACCCCAAGAGAGAACTTTATTCAGAGTAGCCATTTTCAGCTATTTTGTATTAAATGATAACATGGTCTATATTTGTATGCTTCAAATGTGTTCTGTGTTGCAAAGTGGGTTTGTCTGAAACCTCCAGAAACACAACAGAACTGATAAGTATAAAAATAGATTTAAGGGATCTGATTCAGATAATATCTCCAGCAAAGTGGAATAAAAACCTTTATTCCACTCTAATAGTAAATAGTATGTCAGAGTTCATATATTTTATTTGCAAGGTTTTGATGTTTTACATATCTTAGCCAAGATGAGACCTGCCTATTAAGCTGTAGTATTAGGCCTCTCTTTTTAGGGTCCAATCTAGAAAATCTTTGCTTACACAAGTAAATCCTATTGAAGCCAATGGGACTGCTTGCAATCACTTACAGGACTTGGACCTTATTCTCTAACATTTTATGTTTTGAACTATGTTAAAATACCCACCAAAGATATGTTTACAAATTCTTCTAATTTTTGCAAATTAGCGAAAAATCAAAACACTTCCTATTTCATCTTGATTCTTAAACATTTTTGTCTTGCTAAAAATGTCATTTTTCAGAGGTGAAAAGGTGAGGTGAAAATTCTGTCTTTGCAAAATTAAATGGTAAATGAGTGAATTGCCTTCTGAAAGGCTTTTGTGAAAATACGATTCTTATTTTTTTTTTTTTACCCAAGAGAGAAATGGATGGCAAAAAGCTGCACCTGATCCTGGAAATGGCATAATCTGTCATTTTGTTTGGTTTCACAAACATTCCTCAAAGAACCCACCTTTCCCAGATGAATTTTTAAAACAAAGTTTTATGCAGCCTTACTATTTCAGATGCCCAAATTTCATTCAGTTTCTCTTTTATGTTACATTGTCTAGATCAGCAAATGCTTGCGCATTTGTTTGTCCCCACTGAATTAACGTATTAGAAATTACATGTTCTTCTGCACGGCATTTAGCAGATCAACACTTCAATGAAATTATGTTATGCTTTTATTTTATTAAAGGTTTGGGTCAATTGACATGGAATTAATTTTAAACACTGTTAATAACTTGATCTAAATTAATAAACAAATATTTTTCTTTTCTCGTGTACCATATGTTGATGCCAATTATATGAACAGAAAGTGGCAGATTGTCATGTTTCTTAAAGGATTACATAGTGTTTTGCATAAGAGAGAGTACACAAGATGCAGTGATATATGTTGTAAAAAACACACTTGCATTGTTCTTCTTTCCTACTTTGTAAAGGATACACCTCTGATATTTTTCTTTTACTGTAACCCATTTTTCTTGTTAACGGTGTGTACTTCATGTGAAAAGAGGGCATGAACACCCCAAGTACAAATAAACTACTTTCTGACTTAAGCATGAAAGATGTATCTTCTCTGGGACTGTATCTTTTGGAAAGCAGGGAGAGGGGGACGGGAACATAGATAGAAATCCAGGGGTTACAAATACACACACAAAATGTAACTAAGCAGAGACCTATTCAAGCAAGTCTGGTTTCTGAAACAAAGGACGTGAGTCAGATATTATTCAAAGTGAAACTAAATTGATAGACATCAAGATTAAGAAACTTTATGGTGGAGAACAAAGATGCCTCATCTTCAGGGTTTTTTTTCCCCTCTCCCCCAAACACCACATTGTTCTTGTTGAACTGAAGAGCCTCACGCTGGCTGGTACTGATAAGCAGCAGTCCTGTGACTTTATTGTTTTTATTAACTCTCTCTGAAAGTCATTCACCATTAAACACAATTGAATTCATTTGTTGTTTTATTTATGTTTGTACTTGCTAATGTGGTAACAATGGAAATGTCGCTAGCACTGATCAGCCAATGACGTTGTGGTATCCTCTTTGTTTCCAGGGTAAGAAGAGTGACCTTTTTGGGTGGCTGTAACTGAAGATTGCTTTGCAGAAGCAACTAAAGTAGGTAAATACAAATATCGTTCTTTTTTGCATTATAGTGACCTGCCTGTATATGGACCCGATCCCGCAAAAACCTTAAATATTCCATTCCTTACTTGTGGAAGTAGCCCAATGATTTAAATGGGAATGCTTGTGTGACTAGGGACTGCAGGATTAGTTTCTAACATACAAGGCTCTAGTTTAAGCCCTGTACATCTCCAATTAAGCCAATGGGTTAGACCTTCAATTGAAACTTAGGGCCACCTCCTTTTGGCTCCTGTCCATTTGCCTTTGGGAACATTTGGCCATCAGTCTTGTCCTCAGTCAAAATTTGAACAGTCTTCTCTGTTGGCTGTCTATTGTGCAAGGGGCTCTCCTTACAGCTGGGGATCATGCGCTCTTTTTCTCAAAATGCCCCATCGCTCCCTGCTGGGTGGTGCCAGAATTGCTACAGAATTGCTCCTAGCCAGCTGAAGACTCCTTAACAATAAGATGAATCCCAAGGAATTGTCAAATTGACATTACATCTGCTTTGACTTGTGCTAATACAGTGTAAGAGCCTAATTTGGCTCTTCATCTGGTTACTTCTTATCCTTGTAAAAGTACACGCTTTTTGGCCTTTTAGGGCATAGTGAAAACAAAACAAAAAAGAAATCAGCTCCCATGAAGCATTTTTATGAGAATCTTTTGCTTCTACTTTAACTTCTTGCCTTTCTTTTTGTTGACTTCTGTAAGTTTAAAGTTAGAAAGCAACATTAACATCACAAAAGTGGTGATTCATAAAATTAACTTGCGGAAGACTGGAGTAACACATGTCAGTGTTTGGTATTGAAGTGGTGTCATCTGACTGAGGTTCATATGGCTGCCTTATAATCACCTTCTTTGAGAAATTAATAGTCGGTTAAGCACCATAGCAACAAGCAACACTGATGTAACCATTAAGCAGTGGCTGCTGTTCGCTGTGATGTCAGTGCTGTTCTCTTGGCCTTCTCTGAATATAAAATGGTTTCATTTTAAATTTAGAATTTTACAGAATGATTAAATATGTCAAAAAATTACAGCTATTTTTATTTAATTATTTCTTTTAAAAATACATGTTAAGGGGGAAAAAATCCCAACACACTCTCTTCTGTTTCAAATTAAAATAGATTTATGGATAATGTGTTCTTTAGCTCTTTGTTGCCAAAAAAAAAAAAAAAACCCTTACCAGACAGGATGAAATTCATAGCGTTCAAGTGAATACAGGCAGTCCCCGAGTTACGCGGATCCGACTTATGTTGGATCCGCAGTTACGAACGGGGTTTTTCTCGCCCCGGAGGACGGGAGCAGCGGGACGCCCAGATGCCCAGTAGACCAGGGAGACCCTGAGCAAAGCTGCGGAGCACGCGGGCAGCGGGACAGCCCAGACGCACCGCGGCTGTCTTTGCTCCCCGTCTCCCTGGTCTGCTGGTCTCCAGCAGACCAGCAGACCGGGAGACGCGGAGCAAAGCTATGGAGGACCCGGGCGGCGGGACCGCGGTGCGTCTCGGTCTGCCGCCCGCGTTTCCCTGGTCTGCTGGGGGGGGGAGGCAGCTAGTGCGCG